CCTGCATGACAATACCAGTATCCTAGGTAATACACAGACCTTTAGAGTGTCTACAGATATGTTCTGACCTTCTACATATTCTTAGATCCCACTCTATGATCCTGTTGTGCAAGCTGTAAGGAAACCAAAATATATTTGAGTAACACAGTTTCGGTACGGAGACTCCACTTTGCTTACTCTATATTTCCCTTTCCTTGTTATCCCTCCTAGATCAATATATAGAGAAGTGAACACTATCAGACACTGTGGATGGCCTACTGAAAACAAGTTGGTGCAAGATAATGAAAGCAATGGTATGACTGATACTATGACAAAAACAAAGTGTCCCTAGTGGAGAATTTTTCAGGAAAAGTTAAAAATCCAAGCAGAAACAATTTTATTTATATCCCTCCATGACAGACATACTTAAATATAATCAATTAAAAGCTAATAATTATATCAATTGGAAGCAAAAATTCAATCAGAGAAAAGCTTAGCATAAACAGGATGGGAAATGGAGAACCATGGTTTAAGACTTAATAATGTCCTTGTCTTCTGACTTAAAGCTGGACAAGCAAACTTGTAAATAAAAAGTTACTCATCTCAGATGCAAAGTGTGTTATTTTGTTACTCGACTTAATTTCACCTAGCAATAAAACAAAGTGTCTAACATAACTGGAGCAGGGTGAGGTCATCTTGGCTATTGCTGCAAGTCTACCTACAATTCTGTATTTGTCACAAGGAATTCCCTCCAACTTTTGGTTAATGCAATGAAGAAATGTAGCATCACAGTCACCAGCACAACTCATCATGGGATAATGAAATCTATTTTAATCAATGCATATTAGTCAGTGGAGGGATCTGGTTTAATGACTCACTGAGCAAGTTCGTCAATCAGAAAACTAAATTATTGCTGCCTTACCGTATGGTCATTTATTTCTCAAATTCAAACTACGCTTCGCTTAAAGGGAAATTGGATCAAGTTAATTGTCACTGCAGAAGTGTTTCAAATTCTATATTATCACACTACATATATTCAGTTTAACTCCTTTTCTGTCCTGTGAACACAGAAAGGTTCATTTAATTCACAGAAATGCAATAGTGCCAATAAACTGCCATCATTAATTTCAACCTGTGTTAGGTTCAGTTATAAGCTAAAGCTATCGAGTTCAGAGTCAAACTTTCCTGAAATTTGTGATGTTTTGTTTGGAATCAATTTTACACCATTTATACATTGTACTCAGCTGCTTGATGGCACCTAACGCTTGCCTATTCAATCTCATTATTCCTTCTCGAAAATAAGTTTCTAATGCTAAGCCTTTTTTAATCCCACTGCTCCCATTTTAAGGAATGCATTATTTGCATAAAGAGAAAAGCCTCTCTCATTTTCCTGTAAACCTATAGGGCTGTGAAAAATTTGTATCTTTTAGGTTAGGAGTTTGTAAAGGCTGAATATTTGTTCATAAGCATGCTACTGAACATGAAGCCTTGGGTCTGCCATGTCCAGCTTATTTTTTCCTGGGGTGTATCTGTGGCCATCAGAAGCAGGTGGTCCCCTTGCCTTATTACGGCAGGACAGAAAAAAAGAGATGGTCAGCTTGCCTCCTGAGGGTCTTCACACCAGGCTGGCTAACAAGTATTAGCTGCTGCAGCTTTCCTTAGGAGAGGATCAAGCTCCTCAAGCTTGATACCATCAACACAAACAAGTACCTGGTTGGTAATGCAGGTCTCCAAAAGCTGCAGGGACTGACTCAAGAGGCTGAGGCAAACTTAAGCTCCTCACAGTGCAGAACTGAGGAGTTCAGGGACACTTCACATTTCATTTTGTATACCAGAGTTATCTTAAGAGCCCCAAAACACACCAGTGCAACTACGCCTCAAGGAAAGCTTACAACTAGGCAGAGAAAAGACAGGAAGATGTATGCTTAAGCCTTGCATCTCCTCCAGACAGGATCCTGCAAAATCCTTGTGGTCCTGACAGACTGGCACTGACAAAGTGAAATAACACTCACTAAGTTTCTATATATTGCAGAGAGGCACCGGAGGAATGTGTAGATGGCATCACAGACATTAGCTCAAACAGCAACAAGCCAACATTAATCCAGTTGGCTTTGATTAGAGCTACAGAAGATCCCATTTTCAGAGTGCAGGAAGTTTTCCTATCCAAAAAGACTTAACAGTGTCTTAAGTTACACAGCAACTTTACTGCTGGACTCCAGAAAAAACACAAGATATGGTCTAGTCAGTGTTAACCCTTAATAGCTGTAATAGGGAAAAATCCACTAGTTTTACTGAATCCGTAAGTATGTTAAAAAAGTTACATTGAAGTAACCTTTAGTCTGACATTAAATAGTAATGCCCTGATTTTTTTTAAATGTCAGTTTTCAAAATGAATGTCAACTCTGTTCAAGAATGAGCTTCAGTGTTTTCCCTTATTTTGAAACAAGGGTAGTACTGTTATCTGGAATAATATTTCAGATGGTAGAGGGAACAATCCCTACTTAAGATCAGTTTGTCTGAATTAATGAGAAGCTGAAGCAATGTTTATGCTGCATTTCTCTACAACTTCTGACGATATTTACCATGAAATTTTCTCTCCCTCATCCCTCCTTTACTGTATCAGCTTTCATTATACAGTTGCTGCCTGTTGGTTACTGCCTCCAAACAAATGGAACATGGTGCCAAAATTTTACTTCAAGTATTAGGCACTTATCAAAAAAGTTTGCAGTAGTGACATTTGTATATATTTCTTTTTGGTAAGATACACAGCACTATGGTTTTTGCTGCTTATATGGTATGCACAGCAAAAATGGATGTGACAGATAGATGTATATGAACCCATAATACAAAAATCCGTTTACTGTGTGTCAAAACATACATCTGCGTGCTCTGACACTGAGCATCTCCATTTACCTGTAGGCCACTAAGGGAGCCAGGCGCAGTGTGCTTGCCATCTACAGGATTATCAGCCAAGTGCCTAGGAATCTCACTTAATTTTGCACTGAAAAATTAAGCCAATACCACTCCCTAGGCAGAAAGCCATAAATATGTAAAAAACTGAAAACAATGGAAATCCAAAATCAGGGTCACTGCTTTTCCTTACACAGAGATCACAATCAACAGCAGTGACTTCTTTCAGATTACAGAAAAGTAGTGAAATTAAAGAATAAGTCAGAAGTCCCCAGGCCAGAGAGCACAGGAACATCAAACCGCAGGCACCCCACTGCCGTGAGACCAGAGGTGCATGCAGAGAGAGGCATTGCTTTTAAGTTTGGCAGTCACAGGAGAGGGGTTATGTGGAGTGCTCTCCCGCTTGTATGATCAAAGGCTGAGTATTCACTGCTACATCCTTTGCCGTGGATCTCTCCCTACACAGTCCATGGACAGCACCAGCACTTCCCAAAGCTGGAATGATCCGAAAGATGGCAGGATTCATCTACAGGGGATAAAAAAACCCTGAAAACCCTATCACCAGAAAAAAAGAGCTGAAAAGTTTTTGGTTTCTTTAACCAGAAAGAGGAAAGAACTTATGACGAGAATTTTAAATAACATGTAAGTATTTGAAATAAAAAGGAAATAATTAATTTAGTCACACTCGAATGTGAATATATATTCTCTTTTACTTCATGAATGAAGTGTTTTATTTTCTCTCAGTCTTTATAAGAGCATCAACAGTGATATTTCCAGCTAGCCTAAAACAGGTTTTTCTTCACATTTTTCACTGGCAAGCCAGGACTAAATTATCCTCAGAGCTCTCTTCAACCAGTAAGCTATTCCCTTTGTCCTGGGAAAAATGCTGGACACATCTTCCTCCTTACACCTTCCTATGTCAGCCATAGCAACCACTCCCACGGACTCATGACTGAGAAAATACCTTTTATCAGCAAGACCGAAGGCAAGCACTTTGCCAGGCAGCAATAACTTTGCCACCTTGTGCAAATGCAGCCGATCAGAGCCCAAGTCCTCCCCTTCCCATTAGTCCCTCTTTTCTCCTGCCTCCCAGCCAGACCTCACCCTTTGTGGCTGAGCTTCTTCCCCCCTCCCTGCTCCCTCCCTCCTGTCGTCTTCCCCAGGCACTCAGGCAAGCATTCACAAAAAGGAGAGGTAAAACTTTGGTTTGATAATTGCTTTTTTAAGGCAAAGGTTAAGCAGAAGCTTAAAAGTGTTATCACTAAACAAACTGTCAGAGTCTCAGTCTGTTTTGATGAAGACAGTGAATAACCTTTGTTTCAAAGGTTACGCAGGGTGGTCTGTGCAGTACACAAGGACACATCGAGATCTGTCTGTGTCTGAACACTGGAGTAAACACAGCATCCAGACTGAATGCTACAGAGCCCAAGACTAACTGTCCTCTTTATTTAGTTAGTTAATTATTTAGTTATTTTACTTTATTATTTTATTTTATTTTATTTGGTAAAAAAAAACCCTAGGATCTTGATTTTTTTTCTCTTTTAGATTTGCCCTCCTTTATTTACAACAGTGGCAAAATAACTTCAAACAAAATGAGGTTAAGATTATTTTTAACAGATGTTCACTGCTGGCCTGACCCAAAATCCATTGACGTCAATGAGAAGACTCCATGGGGCTTTGGATTGGGTTCTAATTGTTGGAAAAATTAATGTTATTGTAAACCACTGGTCAGTGCTGTCACATGCTCCCTTTCTGTGCCAATTCTATATGACCGGATAACAGACTCACATAAATCTGTTCCAACTGTTGGCTAAGAGGCTAAAGGACACAGAGGTTTATCTTTTTAATTCTGAAGCACCCCCTGTCCCTCCTGCCCCAGCACATCCCATGGCACTGCTGTATTTACTTGACAGACTCAGCATTATGGACAGTATTCAACACAATCAAAACATTTCACAAATGCTCAGTGGGAATAATAGAAATATTAATACTGACTGTGTGAAGACAGCTGAACTACAGATATGTCTGAAATGAGATAATTTGGTTCGTATATTTTCAATACAGATTTTTTTCTTTTTAAAATACAGACGTGAAGGAAGGGTTGCACTTACTGTTAAGAAGACGGGAGTCTATGAATGGGTAGGAGCCGCGGCGCTCGGAGAGAACTCCTGTCTGACCTCTCACCCGTGCATCTCCTGCAAAACACAAAATCCCCAGAGACGTTAGAAGGGGCAGCTGCCTTTCTCTGCTGTTTAGATCTAGATCTATTTTCTGTTCAAAGTGATGACATTACACTCCTTCAGTAGGAAAACTAATGTCCAAAAAATCATCTGTCATGACATCCCTGGGTAATAGGGTGAAGCAGTGCAGCTGATCCTCTTGTCAGAACAAAGGTACAAAACCCCCACATGTTTATGCTGTTGAGCGGGTTCTTGCCCAGTAAGTACTCTCTCACCACTCCAGGGCCAATTTTTTGGCCACACAAGACCAGCTGGATTCTGACTGTCATGGCATCACACACAAAGGTCTCAACCTTGGACTAGGCTCACAGCCCAACTGACCTCCAAAGCTGTGGGACTCACCTAAAAATCATGAGTTTCATGTAAAAATCCCTAACCAAAATATGAAGATGTTTCTAAGGTTTTATTTTTTGCTCGACTGCTCATTTTTGTTTTTCTCTCTGCTCTTTGAGCACTCGGGAAAATGTCAGCCTTCTCTTCAAACACCGAAGCTGCTTTACCGTAAGTGTAACCTAATGTTCTCAGATAAGCATTACTCCAGAGCTTTACAATGTAGATTTAAATATCATCAAGTAACAAGACAATACTGAGAATTAGTATCTCTATGTAATTCACATTGACTAGTACTTGACTTATCATGTAATATTGATGAAATAGGCAAAACTCATTTAAGGAGAAAAATGGTACTCTGGATACATAACTGTTACAAAACCTCTCTCCAAGTAGATATGAAGCAGTGGGAAGCAGATGTCATTGTTACATTTCCATAACCTTAAATATCTTGTGCTGTAATGTAACAAGGCAAATAACAAGACCAAAATATTTTGGAGATTCTAGAGGTCCAGGTTAGAGCACTCTAGTTCTTCACAATACCAATTCCTCCTCTAGAGAAACACAGGCCACAGTCTTGAAAGCATACCCACTGCACTTCCTCAGGCAGCTCACACTGTAGGCCTCTCAAAGTTTGCAATAAAATGATGACTTATTAGTTATTTTGAATTGTGCTTCCTCTGGGATACGAATATAGCATCTGACTAATCTAAACAAAAACAACTTAAGAATTTGGCTGCTAGTTCTAGCATTTAGTGCTTGTGTTTAACAACAAGAAAACATCTTGTAGGATAAAAGAAGCACCTAGTTAGATGCTGTTATTTTTTTCTATCTAATGTTCACTTAAAATGTGCTTACAATTATGTTTAAGTGAAGAAGGCCAAGTAGAACTATTAAATTAAATACTCAAGGTGGAGAAACACTTCCGTGCCCTCTAGGGGTCCTTAGAGGTATGAAAGACAGAAGAGGGCATACTCAAATTAAGAATATTTTAAACACAGACACTTTTGATTATATATATAAATCTATTTTCTCTCATCCTTACTTTCACTTTGTTTTTTAGTTTCCAGAGACAGAACACGTGTTCCCTGTACTCGGCTCCCACTTGCCAACTGTGTGCTCCCAAAACATCTCAAGCTGTTGTTGACCCCACTTACCCTTCCTGATAGCAGAGACAGGAGGTGCAAACCTCTGACTGCTCTCCAGCTGTTGCACTTCAAAGGTATGATAATAGCTTGGGTCTACCTTTAGCAGTTCAAAATCACGTGCAATCTGTGGCAACGGGGGTATATAAACCAATTGCCCTGTGATCCTTCTGGTAAAGGGCAGAAGGCGAGAGCAGGTAGCTGGAGAGGTGGTAAAACACTGCAGCAAGATCCATCAGCATCCATGAGCCAGAGCTCCTAAGACAGCACCCAGACTTAAAAGCACTGTTCTCCGCCACAGGTAGACCCATCAGATTGGCTGATTTGTGTAGAAAGCGTGAGAATGGCAAGCATAAGCTACACATTATATAACCCCCCAAAAAATCAGACAGGCTTGAGCCTGCCACTAAAACAAGAAGCAGCAAATTAAGAACAGGTATAAATTCAGAGCATGCCTTGATAGAGGCTCTTGTTTTTCTGTATGCACCAATGAATTAACTGAAAGTAATTCTCTGCATTAACACACTGGTAAACGTCACGTGACTAAATCAACAGATAATTTGAAAAGAAAGATAGAAATTCAAACTTCAAAAATCTGAAAGAAACTAAGACATATGCTACTGCAAACCCAGAAAGACTGAGTTTCTTTCTGGACAAGAAAAAATATTACCGATCAGATCAAGAGAGGTACCACAGTACGAGAGAATAACAAAATCATACACAGTTATGTATCGAAAAAATTGCCTAACTCTGCTCTTAATAGTATGACATCAAATTTTGAGGAAGAGAACACTAAAGGTAGGAAGACAACTGGAACACAGAAGAAAACACATTGTGAGCTTACCAAAAGCAGATCATACAAGATAAAACTTAACTACTTCAAATAAAATAGCTGATAGACAAGAGGAAAAAATCAGTATTGTACTGCATTTCAGCCATATGGACTTTGTTAAATATGTAAGAGAAGGCAAGAGATGAGTACAAATACTGAAGTTGGAAAAGAATAAATGTAACAACAGGGTGCACTGAAAGGAAACATTTGCTTGGCAACAACTGCATGATCTTAAGACCATTCCCAGTATGAATCTTCTAAAGATTTTTTTATTGATGATCTTGATGCAGAATTAGGAGAGCATTAGTGAGACCTGATGATAACACAAAGCTGGGAGATACCAGCTGTATATAGCTACAGCTATATTAAATAAAGTCCACTGCTACTGTCACCTCCTCTGTCCCAACTGCTCTATGGCCCAGCTACCGGCAGCTTCCACTTTTGTTTTACTGGTAGTCCAGCTTCCTGTCATGGATGCTGTTGACATCTCCTACAGAATTAAAGACTAATCAGCTCAGACATGTATGTACATAATTCAGGCAAGGTAAAGAGTAAAGAGAGGGAAAGCAAGATAGGTACTGATGCCATTATTAAAAGCACTTTGTATAAGTTCATCTGAAATAGTGCCGCTGAGAAAACTGAATTCCTTTTGAAAAAAGTGGAGAGAAGGACCTCTAGGAAGATGATCAGGGCACTAAAGAGCCATTTCATAAAAGGAAAATCACCCTGGTCTAATGCCTCCCATTGATAAGCTGCAGAGTGGGAAAAGAACCATTTGGGCGATCAGAAGAATATCATTCTGAAGGAGGAGACGAAATAAACTGAGGCAGCTGATGCTACCAGCTTTATACACACTGAAAGACGACCTGAAATAGTTAAGGGCTATGCATAATGATTTATAAACTCATTGCCAGTGCTATGTTCTTCAAACTAAGAAAATGTGAATGAGTTTTACTTAAGCCTAAGAAAATGTGAATGAATTTTACTTAACCAGCAAAGCCAAGGACCTAAAGTCACGGAAAATTACTGATAATTCTAGTTGGCTATTTGTGTCATTTTACATTTTTTACAGACAATGAAAGTTTGGGCTGCCATTAGCACTACAGGAATCTATATGCAGAATAAATCTACATCTCGCTGACTTGGTAAAAGCCACTAAAATCCTTATATTCAAGGATTATTAACATTACCCTCAGGGAAGGCAAGTTTCTGATGAGTCAAAGATGTTATCAAGTAGCTATACCTCATGAATCTGCTATTTCAAAATACTTTGCCAGGTGCCACCTAGTCTCTTTCTACATCATTAGAGAAAGCTTAGTTAGGAAGTGGTGGTGGGCTAAATCAACCACACCTGCCTTCCTCCATTTTTTTCTTGGCTCACTTATTTGGAAAATGTTTATATTCTTCTCTATGACTTTTAATTACCTGTAAGTATGCTCAACAGAGATACTAAATATAGGGACTGCACCAGTTGTACACCATACCACATGACCTTTATTTTCTGAGAGGCAAGAGCCATTAATGGCAACACACCAACTCCTTTTCACTTTGCCAAAGGACTTTGAGGGCAACTTTCATCAGTCCACCACACCTTTACATCTCTTTGCTCTCCACCTTAAAATCAAGCTAAGCAATTGTTCTGACAATTTATACAATTAACAGTTCTAGATAAATAATCCTTTTTGGAGCAAAAGGAAGGATTCTGTGGAAACAGGGCAGGAAATTTTGACAGCTCATTGTGTTCCCAAGTGAAACAAACAGGGTGAAGGGAAACAGCAAGGGTACAGGTTCTCCTTGGCTGCTTCAGGCTGAAGATGCAAGGCTGGAACATTTGCAGTCGCAAACATGAAGGGCTGCACTCTCGCCGGAGCCAAGCTGCCATGAGATCTTCCAGTGGGAACATCTCCCAGGGGCTGCTGTTTTTCACTTTGTCCTTGTTAAAACAGAAAAGAAAACAAAAGAAACAAACCAAAACAACCTACATTTCGTAACAGAAACCTGTGCGGCGACACGCACGACAGTTTATAGTCACGGGAAAACTGGATATGGGACAAGAACCATGGTACTACTGTGGCCATAGCATCGGTGTGATTTCAAGATAGGCAGAGGGTTAAGAAAAAAAATGAGGCAGCTCTTAGCTGCCTGACACATCTGGAGGAAAGAGCCATCCGCACTGAGAAAAATTTCTGCAAGACTTGCCTGAAATGACGTGAGATTCAATTTCACTGAGCAGGCACAACAAATTATGAAAGAAAACAGGGCCGTAGCTGTGACAAAACAACAGAGCAGCTTCATTCAGCAGAAGTTAGGACCAGCCGCTAAATTATTGATTTTATTTAGTACACAGCTCCATGTGGTAAGCCAGGAATACCACAGCAAATTCACAAGAGGTTACAAGTATTTATTCTAGTAAAGCTTTTCTACAGTTTTCATCCAAATATTTCTTAAGCTGACTGCTTAAGGGGACACACTGTAGTGGCTGAGTACCTTCCATGGAAAACCGAGCAGCAGTAATAAGGCCTCCTGTGGAGTTTGTGGAGCCCGTGGCTCCTTCACTATTTCAGTTATGAAAAGATTTGGGATTTCTAAGATGATGGAAGGTGAGTTGCTGATGTTTTATGCATAATTTTGGTTTTGGTGGAAAGGTTTCTAAAAGAGAAAAGTGTTGCTGTGTAAAACTAGCAAACTCAGATGAAAAAATAGGTTAAAAACAAGTAGCAGAATTACTGGAATTCTTTTTCAAGATGCCTAATGCTTGTTCATGGTGATTTTTACTTGCTTGGATTATTTTCATTTTGTTGCCTTAGTGTTATAAAGATTATAGTTGCAAATTCTTGTCTGGAGAAAGTATTTTATGCAGATTTCCTCATGTGCATATCACCTGCAGTGAACGTTTCCTCTGAGTAGACATGACAAGACTGACGTTATTGCTTACAGAGACAGGATGAGTCTCTTTTCCAGCAGGAGAAACTGAGGGAGCCACCTCACTTCATCCATTTGTAAGCACTGAATTTTTAAAGACATAAATATTCCAAACCATGAGGTTTTCTGTGCTATATAATGCATGGTTCTCCTATTTCTGGTAACACTCCTAATGAGCTCCTAAGTAATAATTTCATCCAATGCATGCTGCAGTTTCATTTCAGAATGCTCTGCAAAGGAAGATAACTGTTGGTACTCTCCTTTTTTCAAAAAGGGGATAAAATGATGGTGTTGGAACCATTGTTTGGTTTTGTAGATGTTTTTTACACAGAAAATCTCTTAATTTTCCCTGAAGTGGTCCTACCCCATGAATGAGTTATTTTTTATTTTTTTTACCAGTTTCTTGAATTTCAACTATTCAAAATTCCACCTCCAGAGCAGCAACAGTTGCATATGAAACATTACACTCAAACTCTGTATTCTTACAAAACTCTATTTTGGAGTGAATGATGGATCTTATGCCTAACATAAAGTCACGGCACTGCCTGACTGTACCTAGCAACTGTAACTTCTATCCTTCTTTACTGACCAAAATCCACACAACTGCTGTATTTTAATCTCTTAAACAGTATTATCACCAATACTTATGGCAATCAGTAAAATGTAAGAAACAGAAGCTGTTTATAAAATCAATCTGTTTATAAAACAATCTGTTTATAAAACTCTCCGCAATGCTAAAAGTCTCCTGGTAAGCTCACTTTTGCACTGACGCATAGTCTATCTAGATACACAGCCAGAAAAAGACCCTAGGATCCACAGGGATCCTAGGAACAGCTGGTCCATTCTGACAAATGTACATTTAGAGTAAAGGTAAATTAGCATTTTACAAACATTCTGGAAATCGCCCCTTTAAACTGTATCAGATCACAGTAGTAACTCTGGAGAAAAGATTCAAAATCTGAAGTTGAAAGCTGAAATATCTTGAGGCAAAGCTGTCACAACATGCAGACTTTGGAAAAAGTGCTTGCAGACAACCAAAATCCAAGAGGATGAGAAAACTGCCATAGAGAACCAGGTAACTGCAGTTCATCAGGAATTCAGATACTGAAGCAGTATCCATTTTGCCCTCTTCACAGACCTGTTAGTTCTTGCATGAGCAAAGGCAGGGCCTGCAGAAGGAAATAGCTACCTCGGACTGAAAAAAAGTGGTCAGGGTCAGTTAGGATAGACAATCCTTCAAGTGCTAAAGAAGGCAGCTTTCCAAAATGTCGATACATTATATTGCACTGCAGATGCTTTCAATTGTTTCTGAGTTTGATAATGGGCTACGAATTATTGCCTTAAGGTCAGATGTATTTCACGTGCTCGGAGGT